TAGTGATTAGCTGGGGGGGGTTGTGATTAATCCCCAAAGAGGAGAAGTACTGTCCTGTAGGATACTTTCAAGTGTTCTAAGTGGAGCTCTCTCGCGTCTGCTTGCTAGGGAGGGTAGTGCGTCAGCAGGTATCCCGGTGATCCTGAGGCAACGCTTCTGGATCGATTCGAGTGGGTCAGACAGGTGTTTGGGCAGTCCGCCCCAAACCGCCCCACGCTGGCGTCCAGCGAATTGACTCATCGCCTGTACATCTTCCCCAAGTTTTAATACTGGTTCTGGTGGCCCTATTTGATGCACGTTTTAATACTGGTTTTAATACTGGTACATGGTTATACAACAGTTATAGCATATGATTTCCCTGTGGTTATCCTGGTGATACAGCACTTGTAGACCTCATGTCTCAAAGCCTGTCAAAATCCACAGACCTCACTATGACTCCCAGTGATCGGCCGTCCTGTCTTTCGTAAAGCTCTGGTCACAATTGAAGAAAGGGGCCCGCTCGGCGCGTGTTCTCCGTGTTTTTGGCACTACGGGACCTGGACGGAGACCGAATGAGGTTTGGCACGTAGATGAAGAAGAAGAAGAAGGACCGGCCGGCTTCCCGACGGCTGCCGGCCTATTTTTGGCCCCGCGCGGTCGCCGAATTGATTTTAACTCAAACTCAAAATCACTTCGGGCCCCGTTCGGCGAAATACGCCGAAGCGACGCCGTAACCTCACTGCCCGGGAACCGTCCGGCGGCCGCACAGGCACCTGCCTAAGATTATGTGCTGAAAAGTACATCAGGTGGTCAGGAAAAGGGGTTTATAGGGAGCATATATAAACTCTATCTTCAAAGTACGTCGCACAGTTTACCACGTGTGTGTTACACCGTGTACTTGTGTATGTTACAGCGTATGTATACTTGTGTGTCAGAATGCCGAAGCGGGTAAGGGAGAACAGCCGAGACGATAGCCCGGCATAGTTCAGGGATGAACAGTGATATTGTGTTGCATGTGGGCTCTCCTGAAGGAAATTAAAACTCCAAGGATCGGTAGCTGTTCCCGGTCGCCAGGAATGCGTAGGGTAATGGCGAGTTTTAGGCATGCTGGCAAGGGCTGTCTGGCACTGCATAGAATTAAACAGAAGTGTTACATACAGACTGGACTGCCAACTTCAGTGTACTCTTCACGTACTGACGTGTCGTACATTAGAAAACAAGTGAACGGTTGCAGGCAGTGCAGCGCTTATTAGCCCAATATGTTCTTACATCTATAACTACCTAAAGAAGCGAGAAGAAGTCGAACTTGTAAATAGTAGACCGCATTAGTATGTATAGTCTAAATGTTATTACACCGCAATGTACTGTATTCCTTTTCCCGGTTATTCAAGCACACGATTTTAGTGGAAAAAAAACCGCAATTCAGCATTTTTGCTGCAAGGGTTTTTGTTGTTGAATAAACCATTCTCTCTCTTCATGACCTGTACTTGACTTGTTAGAGCACAAACGTACAATAAACAGTACAGGCTCGGGAGTGACACCTCTTTGTTCCGCAGGGACCTTGAATGTGAAATATTTCCTTGTTATTGTCGTCAGACTTGTTGTATAAACAACTAAGCTGGTCTTCAGGTGTTGTATAAACAACTTTAGGTGGGCGGTTGGTCTTTGATCTTAGACTGACGACGGTACATAGTCGCACGATAAATGTTGTCCACGACAGCTTTACACATGACCAGAAAGCGTGGCGGACACCCGCAGCGCAGGATGGCACGCCGCGTGAATTCGAAATGGCGAAAGAACCCCCTTGTTTTCGTCATGATGCATCAGATTGTTCTTTTTCTTCTTTTTATATGATGACAATGACAATGATGTTTATTGCATATTCATGCCCTTCCGGGCTAAATGCACTGAATGAAATGACATATTGGATGATACTACTTACTAGTACATAGGGCGTTGTATAAGAAGAAAAACAAAACAAATAGCTACAGTTACTATACTTCATCTAACTCTAGAGCTTACAATAGCATACTAGTTTCTTCTCTCCTCTTGAGACATGCGTACACGAATTCACAGAGTTTCTCAATTACCAGGTGTTTAGACGATGACATTATGTATGTGAACAGTTCGTCATTTGTTAACTTTGTAAATCTCGGGCCCAGTTTAATAGTGTTAAAAAGAGATTTGCGTAGATCCCAGGACAAAATGTTTTTCATCTTCTATGCAATTATTTTTACAGATGTTCACAGAGCCTATCATTCGGAGGAGTCCGGCTGTATCTACCAGTTTCAATGTGCAGTGGATGGTCGCTAATTCTTAGCTTAGCCATGGCTCGGCGATAGCTGAAGTTTTCAATGTCCAGATATCTTTCTCTTTCATATGACTGTTTGAATTTTCTGTAAGTTCTTAATTTGTTTCCTTGATTATCTTTTTTTCCACAAGAATTAAGTTCTGAGTAAAATGTTTGCATGAAAATGTCTGTTAGCCTTTGTTTCACCGCAGATTGTGTAGATGATGTATTGTGATCTTTATTAAGAAGTAGGTAGGCATAGCCCGACTCCTCCAGGATTTTACTAATATTAGACAGCCAACATGGTATTTTACTCTGGTGCAGCTCTTGTTGTACTAGATATGCTTCAAACTGAAGGCTATTCGTTGGTACTTCTTTAACCAATCGTTTGTAATATGAATATAATCTCAAAAAAAATTCAATCCACATAGGGAACCTACCATGTTCTACCCTTACGGCAAGATTACTTGCATTCTTCCTTACACCTAGGACTGATTTACAAAACTTGGTGTGCACTTGCTCGATCGGTGACTTGTCATTTAGTCCACTTTTGCCCCATACCTCTGCACCATAAGTTAATATTGGGACTACACATGCGTCAAATAATTTACAATAGACTGATATTGACGGGTTAGTGTCCCCTAAAGTAGTTTTGATTCTGAATAAGGCCCTTAAAGCTTTCTTCTATAGTATATGCTGTTGTAAAATTGCCTCCTGTTGTGAAGACAATCCCGAGATAAGCTAAGGTCACCCAGGTGCATGCCCGTCAGGGATGTAGCCCGGCTGGCCCCGGCCGGGCTCAGGAGTCTGGCGGGCATCGGCTGTCATGATCACACTTAAAAGTTTCCTCCAGTAGCATTATATTTATTTTTTGTTAAAAAGTTTGTCACCCTCTTTGGTCGGTCTCCGGCAGGTACCCGGCAGATTCTCTGACGATGTCTTGTACTGACCAATACGTAATGCAGAATTCACGCTTTTGTTGTGATCATTTGATCTGTGACGTCACACATGTTACCCGGGTTTACAAAGTACACACCTTTATTCTGTTCATCTGGTCTGTGACGTAACAAATGTGTCCCGATGGACTGCCGACAACCGGAGGGGTACCTCTCGGTGTTCTCACGGTGAGGTCACGGCGTCTTTTTGTCAGCGCAACCCGGGTAGAATATTTAACTCAGAGTTTAATTCTTCTCGGGGCACCACCGGGCCCAAAAATAGCCCGATACACGATAGCCGCGGGGTGTCCCGCGGGGCAACGTAGGGGTCCCGCCCGAAAGTGCCAAAAAACAGCTCGGGAACTACCCGCCAGGGCCCCTTTTACCAACTGGGACCGTAGCAATAGCAGTATGAGGAGACTATCTCTATGTCTTTGCTGAGGGAGTGGAATTTGAGATTTGGGTACATATGTCCCTTTTGTTGAATACAATTACTTTTGTTTTGCTTAGATTGATTGATAATTTCCATTTTTACAGAAAACACTTAGAGAGTTTAATGCATTTTGTAGTCAGTGTTGGGTTGTAGATAGTATGACAATATCGTCTGCGTATATAATAGCTGAATCCAGCGTTCGGTGCTGCCGCAGGAAGGCGGATCGGTACCGGAGAAGTAGCTATTGGTGGTAGGGGATCGCACCTGGCACGTTTGACGACATTTAATGGTAAACTAGCACTATAGGCGATGTTTTGGGACAGAAAATAATGCTTGCAGGCTCATTTGCATATGATCAGTGACATCTTACTTCCGTCGCCGGCGACGGTTCATTTTGTACGGAGGAAACTCCCTCTCGGACCCCCCGCTGAAGGATCGCACGAAAGGGTCCGAGGTGGTAGTGTCGACGATTCGAGGATTACCATTGTGCGACCAATTGGATCGTGTTTAGACGGTGGTAAAATACCGTAGCCTTCAACATCTTGACGATAAACATTCGCACGACTATTCAACCGTCGTAAGTCTAAAGTTGGCCTTATGAAAGACACGGCGGTTGGTCTTTGGGTTTTGACAGGCTTTGAGACATGAGGTCTACAAGTGCTGTATCACCAGGATAACCACAGGGAAAATCATATGCTATAACTGTTATCCAGCTGCCTAGACCCAATCTCCTGTTTCACATGTTGAGCGTATAATACTTATTTATGTTCGTTGAACATCAGAACCATTATTAAGCCTTGCATCAAGTAGGGACGTCAAAACCAGTATTAAAATGTGCATCAAATAGGCACGTCAGAACCAGTATTAAAACGTGCAAAGAAGACGTTTAAAGAAGATGTACAAAGGTCGGGTGTAACAGGTAGTTCAGTGTTAGCTAACCAGCTTCGTGGCTGTGAAGCTGATGTGCCACACAGCTAACAGTTTTACACAGCTATAAGGGAGGCTCTACTGGCTACACAGCTAGCTGAAGATACAGATCATTAACAGTGCGGGTAAGGCTGGTAATAGCACTATGCACATTCTTGTGCATAAATGAGTATCGTGGTTGACAGCCTTGTTTTTTTCGTCACGCAAGAAAAGGTATTTGTTAAATTATGTTTTGTACAAAGCAGTTAAGCTCCGTCTATTACCAGATAAATTGTGCCCGTAGGTGGTCTCTGCAAGTTGGCCATAACCCTCTCCAAACAATTCCAGGTGAACGTGACTTTGTGCTTGACTTACGAAAGACAGGGCGTCGCTCTAAGGCGCGTTTTCATTCACCAATCAGCTCCAGTTTTACCCAGATAATTGAAACATCTTCAAAAGCTGAAAAAGTCTAACTCTGGTCGGATCCGCGCACTTCTTCGAGCGGCACAGCTGCAGTAGGAGTCCACACCAGAACCACCGACACTTTCAGGGCTACTCTCAACCCGTCTCCTGTTCACAGAGCGACAGCTTTGTATCCACTCTGTCAAGAGCAAGGACAGGTAAGATTGTTTATAATCCTGATCTAGTTGTAGCCTCCATTATCATAAAATGTTTCATTTCAAAACTTTGGCACATGTTCGATGTAAGACATCACCAATTTAGCGGAGCACGCATCCAGGCGCGCGGAGTTGTTTGCGCTCACTTCCCGATCGTGTGCACCATGCCTGTCCGGTACCAGTGCGCCTACTTCAGCATCGAATGTGAATTCCTAAACGAAACATCCGTCACCCAAATCACGAAATCGCCAGGACACGTAATCAAACTCTCGGGGCCATGCGAGCTCACAACCCGATCGTGAGCGACATTCCTGTCCGGTACAAGCGTGCCTACTTCTGCTGTGTGAGGTCTTACACCTAACATCCGACTACCGCATCACGAAATCGTCGTAGTCACTATCCTCATTGCATTGTAGTAACCCCTTCCCACCAAAAGGCTAGCGGGCAGGTCAGTGCTCATCCACCGGCCAACGTGGCTGAGCTCTGGTTCACGCAGGTCGAGTCGACACGGAGAGGTTTTCTAACTACGTGTAGTTGTTGTAGTTGTTTAGTTGGCATTGTACGCCTAGACTTGGTGAGGCTGGCGGGCGGGACAGCCTTTTCGGACGGTCTGACTTCGCTTCTGTGCCGATAGGTACTTATAGTCGATCGCCTTGAGGATGGGCATATAATAAGAAAGCCTTTCTAAATACGCGTAGTTGTTGTAGTTGCGTAGTTGTAGTATCAAGTCTTGTCTGTGCGCAAGGCTAGCGGGAGGGACCGTCTTTTTCACGGCCTGAGATCGCGTCTTTGCCGATAGGCACCTAGAGTCCACCGCCTTGAGGAAGGTATATTGTATGAAAGGCTTACTTACTACGCGTAGTTGCTGTAGTTGCTGTAGTTGGAGTATCAGGTCTTGTCTTGGCGAGGCTAGCGGTCGGGACCGTCTTTTTTCACGGCCTGAGATCACTTCTGTGCCGATACGTACCTAGAGTTCACCACCTTTAGGAAAGGTCTATTAAATGAAAGGCTTACTTACTACGCGTAGTTGATGTAGTTGCTGTAGTTGATGTTTCAGGTCTTGTCTTGGCGAAGCTGGCGGTCGGGACTGTCTTTTTTCACGGCCGGAGATCGCGTCTTTGCCGATAGGTACCTACAGTTCACCGCCTTGAGGAAAGGTCTATTATATGAAAGGCTTTCTTAGCACGCGTAGTTGCTGTGGTTGCTGTAGTTGATGTTTCAGTTCTTGTCTTGGCAATGCTAGCTTGTGGGACCGTCTTTTTTCACGGCCTGAGATCACTTCTCTGCCGATAGGCACCTAGAGTTCACCACCTTGAGGAAGGTATATTGTATGAAAGGCTTTACGCGTAGTTGCTGTAGTTGCTGTAGTTGGAGTATCAGGTCTTGTCTTGGCAATGCTAGCTTGTATGGTCTTTTTTTTACGGCCTGAGATCACTTCTGTGCCGATAGGTACCTACAGTTCACCACCTTTAGGAAAGGTCTATTAAATGAAAGGCTTTCTTACTACTAGTTGCTGTAGTTGCTGTAGTTGATGTATCAGGTCCTGTCTTGGCGAGGCTAGCGGGCGGAACCGTCTTTTTCACGGCCTAAGATCGCGTCTTTGCCGATAGGCACCTAGAGTCCACCGTCTTGAGGAAAGGTCTATTATATGAAAGGCTTTCTTACTACGCGTAGTTGCTGTAGTTGGAGTATTAGGTCTTGTCTTGGCGAGGCTGGCGGGCGGGACCGTCTTTCTTCACGGCCTGAGATCGCTTCTGTGCCGATAGATACCTGGAGTTCACCACCTTTAGGAAAGGTATATTAAATGAAAGGCTTTCTTACTACGCGTAGTTGCTGTGGTTGCTGTAGTTGGAGTATCAGGTCTTGTCTTGGCAATGCTAGCTTGCGGGACAGTCTTTTTTCACGGCCTGAGATCACTTCTGTGCCAAGGTACATGGAGTCCACCGCCTTGAGGAAGGCATATTGTATGAAAGGCTTACTTACTACGCGAAGTTGTTGTAGTTGCGTAGTTGTAGTATCAGGTCTTGTCTGTGGCCAAGGCTAGCTTGCTGGTCCGTCTTTTTTCACGGCCTGACTTCGCTTCTGTGCCGACAGGTACCTAGAGTCCACCGCCTTGAGGAAAGGTCTATTATATGAAAGACTTACTTACTACGTGTAGTTGCTGTAGTTTCTGTAGTTAGAGTATCAGGTCTTGCCTTTCCGAGGCTAGCGGGCGGGACCGTCTTTTTTCACGGCCTGAGATCACTTCTGTGCCGATACGTACCTAGAGTCCATCGTCTTGAGGAAAGGTATATTGTATGAAAGGCTTTATTACTACGCTTATTTGCTGTGGTTGCTGTAGTTGATGTATCAGGTCTTGTCTTGGCGAGGCTAGCGAGCGAGACCGTCTTTTTGGACGGTCTGACTTCGCTTCTGTGCCGATAGGTACCTAGAGTCCACCGCCTTGAGGAAAGGTCTATTATATGAAAGGTTTTTTTTTTACTACGCGTAGTTGCTGTAGTTGCGTAGTTGTGTATCAGGTCTTGTCTTGGCGAGGCTAGCGGTCGGGACCGTCTTTTTCACGGCCTAAAATCGCGGCCTGAGATCGCGTCTTTGCCGATAAGAACCTAGAGTCCAGTGGTCCGCCTTGAGGAAAGGTCTATTATATGAAAGGCTTACTTACTACGCTGCCTGGTGCCTTTCCACATGGGAGGGAGTCGATGGCTTTGCTCAGTTCTTCACCTCTGGATCCAGACGAGTTGGCCGTCCAGCACTGCGTTTCAAGGACATTTGCAAAAGGGATATGAAAGCATGTGGCATCCCAACAGACACCTGGGAAGCCCAGGCTGAGGACAGAGCTGCCTGGCGCAGAGTTGTACAGAACGGTGTTGCAGATGCAGACAAGAGAAGGGGAGAAGCTGCAGCAGAGAAACGGAGACTGCGGAAGGCTGTCCCGCCCGCTAGCCTCACCAAGTCTAGGCGTACAATGCCAACTAAACAACTACAACAACTACACGTAGTTAGAAAACCTCTCCGTGTCGACTCGACCTGCGTGAACCAGCGCTCAGCCACGTTGGCCGGTGGATGAGCACTGACCTGCCCGCTAGCCTTTTCGTGGGAGGGGTTCACTACAATGCAATGAGAATAGTGACTACGACGATTTCGTGATGCGATAGTCGGATGTTAGGTATAAGACCTGACACTGCCGAAGTAGGCACACTTGTACCGGGCAGGAATGTCGCTCACGATCGGGTTGTGAGCTCGCATGGCCCCCAGATTTTGGTTACGTGTCCTGGCGATTTCGTGATTTGGGTGACGGATGCTCGTGTGAGAAATCACATCCGATGCCGAAGTGGGCGCGCTGGTACCGGACAGGCATGGTGCATACGATCGGGAAGTGAGCGCAAACAACTCCGCGCGCCTGGATGCGTGCCCCGCTAAATTGGTGAATGTCTTACATGGAACATGTGCCAAAAAAGCATCATCATCACTCGCAAAATCACGCCCATGCTCTTTACTAGGCGACGCAAAAACACGTTCTACTTTCTTTTCAAAAATAGCAGCAGGAGTCCACCATGTTGGGGTTTCTACCTCGCATTGCCGTCTTGGTCGCCCTCCTGGCCGCTGCGTCCGTGGACGCGTCCCACTTCCGAGGCGGGACCATCTCCTGTACACCTGACATGGTCGACACGGGCCTGGTAAGAGTTATTACAACATAGGAGCTAGGGTATAGTAGTTACGCGGTATCCGTAGGTATTTATTTATAGCATCTTTTAAACTTCAGCCATTGAGTTTCAATCTATTAGAAACATCAAGAGCTTGGTGTAGGGGGTAAGACTGTATTCGAAGATTTTGACGAATTAATTCATAAAGAAGGGGAGCTTCCTCGTACTTGATAAAATTAGATATACTTTGTTCTCGATGACCGTCATCAAACTACAAAGCGCTGTTACAAATTACAGCTATTGACTTTGTATTGAATCAGGATTCAGGAACGTTCAACATTCGCTACATACGCATTCGTTTTGACCAGTATGTTAATCATCATCAAGCCCGATTCCATTTCAACCTGTAACGTTATACTAGTATTCAACATCATCAAGAGATGAGAGGAAACCGAACTTATGTATCAGAATCCATGTTTTAGATTTGTATTAGAAGTCCTGTCAATGTATGTAAGTTACTAAAGTTACTTCTTTTGTATGAATGTACAATATAAAGGTTATCCATCTTCGCGTTAAATGTGATCGGTTCTTCAACTTGCTCTTCTAAGATATGGCTAAGATGTAAAGTGCCTTTCCCAGGGGCGCGAGATTGGGCCTGCTAGCTATAGGGATTCGAACCCAGAACATTTAGATTCCAAGTCGAAAACCCAAAATACAAAACCACCTCACCATCTTGTTCTTAACCTTTATAGGTCCACTGTAACTATCGCCTGGCCTGGCGGCGGCCCAGCGCGGACAAGTGTGATCAGGACGCAATCGACAACAACGAGCTGATGAGCGGAGAGGGGAGCTGGAACACTCCCAACGGCATGATCCCCGCCAGTTACCACTGTACCGACTTCAGCGTGCAGGAGGACTGGCAGCAAGGGGTCAACACCATGACTGTCAATGCAACAACTGGCAGCGCAACAATCGTTAGGTGACGTTACGCTAACTCGTTGATGATACCTAATTGTTTGTTTGCTTGCTTGTTTCGCATAACCGGTAAACCTCCTTTAGTAATAACACACCAGTTCTATCAAGGATGTTCTACACAGCAAGACCTGGCTTATCTGGATAAGCCTGGACTATCCAGAACCGTGCCTGTCTAGTTCTATATGCCTGAATGGGTTAGGGCTGGGTCAGGTACGGTTCTGGACAGTCTCCGGGCATCCAAGAACGTGAATTTGTCCCAGGCACGGCTCTGGATAAGCCTAGACTATCCAGAAGCGTGCCTGAGCATCATCAGGTCCTGGATAAAGCACGGGTCTGAATTGAACAGCCGTCCCAAACCAAAGCTAGGTACTCATTTTCACCTTTCACAACAGCTTTGACAGCTGCTGCTGGATCACGGTCCAACGTCCTGGAGGCGGAACACACGAGCCGAACTGGCAAGTCAGGACTCAGTTCGACATTGGCGTGCGAGCGGACACCGGCCGGCCCAACTCCTCTCCCATCACTGCCAGCTCGGCCATACACAGGTAAGAGCGAAAAAGATGTTGTGTTTCCCATTCCAGTCCTGAAAAAATAGGGACTATACGTCAGTGATTCCTTTTTTTTAGATTTAGACTAAGGTGATCAAAAAAAAGTTAGACCAACGAGGTTAAGAATCTAGATTTTTAACGTCCTTGGTTTATCGATGTAAACCAAAATGCATCAAGACTACGACTGTATAACATTGGGTTCCTAGTCGCTCCTCGTGTTTCAACTGTCTCCGGGACAGGTCCCACCGTTGTCGTATATGTTGGTCAATCAAATATTGTGTACAGTATGCCACATGTACTACAATGTGTGGTAAAACTGTGTCCCAGAACTTTCAGTGACCTGTACTAATTCTCCTTCACATCCCTCCATCCGTCCCTGCAGGATCCAGATCAACTGTGATGCCGTAATCCGGATCCCGACCAAAGACTCAGACGGCGACGCCGTGAAGTGTTACTACTCCTCGGTGTTCAACGAGTGTGGGGACGCCTGCGACCCGCTGCCCTTATCAAGCCTGGATGAGGTAAAACGAAAATATAATGACATTCTTTGCCACAAAACCAAGTTGAACGCCTTTCCGCGTAGGTGTCGTGGTCCGTTTGTCCGGATGTCATTTCTTGCAGTGCAAGATGTAGATTGGTAGATAACAGTTCTGTTCCTCCAGATTCCCAAAGTAAATGTTTTTGTTTGTCCTGTTGTGTTGTGTTGTGTTAGAAACTGCATGCAAAACGATCCCAAAATGTCCGATGTGCTTCAACACAAAATGATGAATTCAACTATTCCAGTTCTGAGACGCTTTTGTTGAGGTGTACCAATAATATTTGTTTTCTAACGATGATCAAACTCTTGATTGCCCAAAGGCATTAACATCTCTTTCCTAACACTCCCCAGGACACCTGTGAGATCTCGTACAGCACGCCCCAAGGTATGCTCTCTGCTATTGTAAGGCCTGAACCGTCCACAGCACCCCTAGCAAAGCCTCATTATACTATTATAATGACCTACTTTAATATTACAATGAGCAAAGTGCTAGGGGAAAGACTTGAATATGCAACAGGCCAGGCGATAATTGCACTGGCTTCAATGCCCCATGCCTCGCCCAGTGTTTTGCATTTGTTTGTCTTACTTACAAAGAAGGTGCTAAATACAATTTATCTATTGTCAGATATTCAGCTGTCAACATGATTCATTGTGCAGGAGTAGTGAGGGACAGAAAAAAATCCAGAATTCATACATCTGAGACCAAACCTTTCCGCACTACCTACAAATTTGATATTTGGTGCAAACAAGACGAGACGAGTTGGTGTATATGAATCGGTTTTCGGATAACTCATTTAATCACCGCATATTTAGCTATCAATCGATAATGTCATGGCTACCCCCTAAAATGCTGTCAAAATGATCAAAATTTTGATATTCCTTTAAAATTAATAAATAATCTTTTTTTCTGGAAACCGATTCTTATACTACACAACTGCTCCTATATCCTCTGAAAATTTCAGTATTCCTGGCCATTGGCAAAGGTTTGGTCTCAGCTTGTCTTTGTAAAATCATATGCCAGATTTTCTAATTAATTATGACAATATCATGTTGATTTTCTAAATTTATTAAACATTTTTTAAATGAATGGGTTCTTATCTAAGTGCCTGCCAAATTTCAAGTTATTCTGTTGCTCCAAAATCTAGATATTCGCGATTACCCTAGTAACAATGTATAGTCCGTGTTACCCCAATTCTTCCCGGCACCAGGCCTTAACGTACCAGAGCTGACCCCCGGTTGGTACGCCATAGCGCTGACACTGGAGGACTACCCACCGGGAGCGCCCAGGACAGCAGGGTCTGGACTCAGCAGGGTTCCCCTGCAGTTCCTGGTCAATGGTAGGTGTAATGTTGGTTTAGTCTCTCTCTCTCTCTCTCTCTCTCTCTCTCTGTGTGTGTGTGTGTTTGTGTGTGTGTATGTGTGCGTATGTGTGTGCGTGTGTGTGTCTATATGTGTCTATATGTGTGCGTGTGTGAGCGCGCGCGTGTGTGTGTGTTTCAATTTCTCTCTCTCTGTCTCTCCCTCTGCCTCTCTGTCTCCCTCTCTCTCCCTCTGTCTCTCCCTCCTTCCCTCTTTCTTCCTCTCTCTCTCTCCCTCCGTTTCTCTGTCTCTCTCTGTCTCTCTCCTTCCCCTCACTCTCCCCTCTCCCTTCTTTCTCTCTCTCTCAGTCTCTCCCTCTGCCTCTCTTTCCCCCCTCTCTCTATGTCTCTGTCTCTCCCCCTTTCTCTCCCTCCCCTCTCTCTCCATCTCCCCCCCCCTCTCTCTCTTCAGAAGGCCTGAACAGATTCTGATGACATTTAATGTGTGATGTAGGTAGGTCTTGGGAAGACCAAGCTTAAGGTCAAGGAAGTTTATATGCCTCCTTCTGGCGACTTTTCTTTGTACTTCAGCAGACTTTTTCGTCTCTCTTGTTCTGGACATGCTATGGCCTTTATTTTGTGGTGGCACAGTTAGCTTTCCCCTAGCAGCTTGTTTTGGAACTGCAGGGGGATTTTTGTTCGCGTATTCACTTTCTGCTCTTTCGTTCCTCCATCCAGCTTACACCTCCAACACCCCGTGCAGTCTGAAGCCCCAGTTGATCGGACAGACGCCCCAGGCCAGGGACAGGGTGGTCATTCCGGCAGGGGGCACTTATCATGCGGTCATAGAGGCGGAGGCACAGAGTCCCGGAGCTAGGTGAGTGAGTGAGTGTGTGAGTTAGTGGGTGAGTGAGTATGTGAGTTGGTGGGTGAGTGAGTGAGTGAGTGAGTGAGTGAGTGTGTGTGTGAGTGAGTGAGTGAGTGAGTGAGCGAGCGAGCGAGCGAGAGTGAGTGAGTGAGTGAGTGAAAAGAAAAAACTTGAATTGATCGTGCTAACATATACATAATGCCTGTCCTTGGTGCTGAACACTTGGTGCTATCCTTTACTGACAAATGATGTAGAGCGATTTTCGATTACGTTTTCGATCACGTTTCAACACCTAGCAGGTTCGATGTATGGCAACGTACGTATGATGTGATAAATATCGTGCATGATATGATGGATTTTAGAGTGACAATTATCCCTGACCCTGGGATTTCTTACAGTATTGTGGAGATCACAACTGTTTCTCCACGTGGGATGATCAAGTCAGACCTGGTCACGGATCCCATCATGCCTCACCGCGCCTACGTCAACATCACGTGGTCTCCGACCCAGGCGCAACTCGGGCAGCACATCTTCTGTTTCCAGGCGCAGGACAGCAACATGTAAGCTGATACACTTTTCCCATGACGCTCGACTCAATAAATGCTTCAATAGATACATTTTGAATGTAAATTAATCTTTGACAGTGTATGGTTTTATATGCCAATTCCGTACTCAAAGTAAAGCGTTTGTTTAGTGTTTTGTTAATTCGTTATAGAAATGTAGATAACCACGAATCTGAAGTGGAAAGAAAGGGAAACGACATAATAGAGCAGAATAATCATAATCGTCTATAGTGTAGTTGCCTAAATTTCTCAAGAATTTATGTCTGTTTTCTTTCACCTCAATGTAACAGGGCGGATTCTGACCAGCGGTGCATGACTCTTGTGTACATGGGTAAGAGAAATCCACTTTTCTTCGATGAACTACTTCCACTTAACCATAAAAAGATTGTATTGAACATTAGATGATCGATATTGCTCCATAGTGTGCTCGGTAAAAAGCCATCAGCATCCAACCAATTTCTATCCTCCTGGCCCAATGCAATCCATTGCTTTCGAGTCCAAGTGCCACAAATTCTTTCTTGCATGATCTACAAGCAAGCTGCATCTGGAAACAAAAGATATTCATCGATGTTATGATGGCAATTTCTCACGCTATACAAGGTAATTATTACTGGGTACAAAAGTGCTGTTTTGGGTGGCTGAACTGTAGTTTGACAGCACGTGGGTGGGAAAAGATTGACAGGCAGAATGACAGGAGGTCTGACGGTCAGGCTCGGGAATTGGTGAGCATGAAGGCTGGGAGCCAGCAGGAATTAGATGTCGACATGAGGGAATTCGGGAAGCTAAGGATTGCATACTTAGCTTTTCCGGAATTCCGGAAGTCTGAAATCTCTGCTTTCTTGTTGATGTTGACGGGTTGTTGGAAAAAGGAGTCCAGTCCGATTGGCGGAAAAAGCAGTCCAGTCCAATTTGGGACTGGAAAAAGCAGTCTACGAAAAACCGGTAGTTTCTACGAAAGACCATAGGTACAATTATTTTTTTTCTTGTGTGTGTACTTTGAGTTTCTATGAGTACTTAGAGTTTCTATATAAATTCGAGTTTCTATGAGTACTTAGAGTTTCTGTGAGTACTTACAGTTTGTATGAGAACTTAGAGTTCGTATGGGAACTTCGAGTTTCTATGGGAACTTCGAGTTTCTATGGGTACTTCGAGTATCTGTAAGCACTTGGAGTTTGTATAGGAACTTAGTGTTCGTATGGGAACTTAGTGTTCGTATGGGAACTTAGTGTTTGTATGAGTATTTTGAGTTTCTATGAGTACTTCAATTTCTGTGTGTGGTCCGACTTTCTGGGGGCACTTTGTTTCCTGTGGCTGATGACAATACATTATGAGTTGCATATTATTGTTCTAGGCAACTAAAGCTATTAGAAATATGATATACTTTTACCTTTTAAAAGTTCTTCTGCTTACAATGTTCAACATGTTTGTTGATAGATGAAACTCGAAGTTCCCATACAAACTCTAACATACAAAGTCTAAGTTCCCATACAAACTGTAAGTTCCCATAAAAACTCTAGGTTCCCATGCTCACAGAAACTCTAAGTACTCATAGAAACTCTAAGTACTCATAGAAACTCGAAGTACTCATAGAAACTCGAAGTACTCATAGAAATTCAAAGTACCCAAAGAAACTCGAAGTACACAGACAAGAAAAATAATTGTACCTATGGTCTTTCATAGAAACCACTGGTCTTTCGTGGACTGCTTTTTCCACCCCCAAATTGGACTGGACTGCTTTTTCCGCCAATCAGACTGGACTCCTTTTTCCAACAACCCGATGTTGACATATCATACTAAATGTTTCTAGGGACCCAGGATGTTGACGAGTGTCAGAACAACAACGGCAACTGTTCCCACGCATGCGTCAACACGGTCGGGTCGTACCACTGTGCCTGTCCGGCGGGGATGTTTTTACGTCTGGAGAACAACAAGGAATGTGACGGTACTATTGCCTAGTTTGTATTTATAAGTAGAACTACACAGTATTCTATGACAAATATTTCTCCTTCTTTCAAACTCCTATCTAGTTTTGACTGGGAGCCACCAGTACCTTGCTGTAACGGCACGGCCACATCCGTCATAAGCTGTCATATGATTTTGACGTTGTGTCCTTTCAAGCACAAGTAAGTAAGTAAGTAAGTCCTCTCCAAGCAGGCTGCAACAACCAACTGCCGACAGGGATCAAAGACAGCCTTTTTCGTAACAACACAGCACTGAATCCAGTACAACACATACAAAACTGTTGCTAAAATGTTCTTGGTGTTAAATGGTACCGTGTGATTGTATGGCAGATGTAACCGGGCCCAAAGGATAGTTTGGTAACAATTGTTAAGGATACACTATAAAAACTATCCTGGCTTTTCAAATATAGATTTAAAATGTCTTATGATGTCTTTCTTGGTACTCATTCTCTAAGACATTGACGAATGTGCACGGGACCCCGGTATATGTCATGCCAACGCGACCTGCATCAACACACTCGGGTCTTACATCTGCGAGTGTGACCAGGGGTATTTCGGCAATGGATCCATGTGCATAAGTAAGTTAACACAGCATTGCAAATATTAGAGGAATTCTAAACTCTTCAGTGTCATTTTATGTTATCTTCTATAGATTACCAGTTTAATGATAGACCACACTGTAAGCAATCGTATTCTGCATCACATATTAATCGTATTTCATGAGTTTGAAACATGAGGTTTTTTTGCAATATGAGTAAAACAGACATGTTTAGTTCAGCATATTGATTTATCCATATACCTGTATTTATGTTGAACTTCATTTTTTACACTTACATGTACTTGTTCGCATATGTTTTTCTGTTACGTAAGTCGCTGTACTTAAGTGTCAATTAAGATTTCTGCATGTTCTTCAGTTGACATAGACGACTGTGCCAACGGGACCCACGGTTGCCACGAGCATGCGCACTGCGTCGATCTGCCGGGGTCACATGACTGCATCTGTGACGCAGGGTTTGTCGGAGATGGCGAAACTTGTACAGGTGAGAGTACATCACTCCGGACCCAACTTCAAATAGTCACACATATTTTGTTCTCCTTTGGAAAGAAGCTGTTAATCGTATCCAGATCAGTGCTATTTACTAAATGTTCCATGTCTGAATGGGTTAGGGTTAGGATCAGGCACGGTTCTGGAGGGTCTCCACGCAAGATTTGCACTAATCACATTTGTATGCAGATTATTAATATGTAGATTGCACCAGTCACAGTTCTGCATACACGTAGACTATACAGACCTAATCCTAACCCTTTCAGGCATAACACAACACCTTTCAGTGTACGCTAATAACTCAGCACCAAGGACAGTACAAGCCCAAGAACGAATATATAATTTCATCCAGGACCATTCCTGTCTAGTTCTATGCCTGAATGGGTTAGGGTTAGGATCAGGCTTGGTTCTGGATACTCTCCACGTAGATTTGCACCAAGCACGGTTCGGGATATGCGTAGGCTATCCAGAGCCATGCCTAATCCTAACTCTATACCTTTCAGGCATGGAACACAACACCGATCAACTGTAGCTGTTAGTTCAACACCAAGGACAGAACAAGCCCAAGCAGAAGGACAGACGCTATTGTATCCAGAGCCCTGCCTATCTTAATAAGTTCCATGCCTGAATGGGCTCAGGGTCAGGAACAGTTCTGGATAGTCTCTATCTGCATATCCAAGAACGTAGACTTGCCCCTGGGACACAGTTCTGAAAATACCTAGGCCATCCAGAACTGTGCCTTTATAGCACACTGCGTGTGGAGTATCTTCCTGTGCAACATTACATCTGTCCATATTTTTGTGCAAACGCATGTTTGCAAACGCATGTCGAGTATCTTTCTGTGTAACTTAATATGGGTACTTCAATATGTTTGCCTTTGTTTTGCAGATGTTAACGAGTGTGCTGAGGGTGTGCACATGTGCCCGACCAACGCCAGCTGCACCAACACTCCCGGCTCTTACACCTGCAAGTGTGACCCGGGACACGAGTGGGATGGGACTGCATGTTCAGGTGAGAATAGCTATGACCTCTTTGGCCGTGTCTATGTGGAATCAACCAAACCGCGATTCGGGTAACTCACATTCCTCACATCTGGTCCACGTGCCACACACACCTGTGAAACGGTGTTCGATCACGATTCTCAGAAACTGCATTTATTGCTGTTTGATGTAAACACGCAAGGTAGCGTGTTAATAATGTCAGAGGTCAACGACCTGCTTGCTGGTGCCCCCCTCCCAGCGTACCTCGGCCAAATGCCGACGTGGTCCCACCAGAGGCGGTGAAGCTCGTCCTAGAATGGACACATTATTTGGCCATTACTGGTCTTTAAGTTGCTGCCTCGTAAGTTTTGGTATTGCATATAAATAAAGAAATATCACCCGGTAATCCATGACCATGTGAAGTAACATTGAAATCACATTGCGTTCAGACGCAAATCGCGATGCGGGGAAACCGATTCGAAACCACCTCTAGACGTGGCTTGGGATCGAGGCGCTTTCAATGTGATTTCGGAGCGTTCACATGGAGCCACTTGAAACCGGCTTCGGGGTAAACCACATGTAAACTGCCTTCCACATAGACATGGCCTATGAGGTTTGTAGGGAGTTATAGATAGTAGAATCATCCACCCATGAGTAGAATAACCAACTGGCCAATAAATGACCATACCTCAGGGTGGGTGAATGTTTGCAAACGCATGGAGTATCTTTCTGTGTAACTTAATATGGGTACTTCAATATGTTTGCCTTTGTTTTGCAGATGTTAACGAGTGTGCTGAGGGTGTGCACATGTGCCCGACCAACGCCAGCTGCACCAACACTCCCGGCTCTTACACCTGCAAGTGTGACCCGGGACACGAGTGGGATGGGACCGCATGTTCAGGTTAGAATAGCTATGACCTCTTTGAGGTATAGATCAGTAGAATCATCCATCCATGATTAGAATAACCAACTGGCCAATAATTGGCCGTAACTCAGGGTTGGTGAATGCTTTTATCTTTCTGTTTGTATCTTTCTGTTTCTATCTTTCTTCAATACGTTTGCCTTTGTTTTGCAGATGTTAACGAGTGTGCTGAGGGTGTGCACATGTGCCCGACCAACGCCAGCTGCACCAACACTCCCGGCTCTTACACCTGCAAGTGTGACCCGGGTCACGTGTGGGATGGCACTGCGTGTTCAGGTGAGAATAGCTATGACCTCTATGAGGTTTGTGGGGAGTTATGCATGTTTGCAAATACTCATGCGTTTGCAAACGCATGTTTGCAAACGCATGAGTATCTTTGTGTGTAACTTAATGTGGGTACTTCAATACGTTAAATGCCTTTGGTTTGTAGATGTTAACGAGTGTGCTGAAGAATAACCAACTGGCCAATAATTGGCCGTAACTCAGGGTGGGTGAATGTACTCATTGGTGGGACCTGGTAAAATATTCTACCTACATAACTGTCTAAATTTCTCTGCCCACCTTGTTGCTTCCAGGAGGGAAGTATTGTTTTGGGTGGCCTGAATGTATGGTACATGTAGGTTTACATGTTTGGGTTCCATGAGTGGGCGTGAGTGGGCAGAGATTGGGTTTCGCTTGATGGACAAGGGTTTACCCAGTACAAATGTATACCCTGGGTGGTCACCAGAAATCTGTTTTCTTGATAGTCTGTTGGAGACTAAGGACCTGCCTGTTACATCATATGTTTTTTTAACTTACCTTCTAGACTTTGACGAGTGCTCTGTTGACAATGGGAAGTGTGAAGATGTCTGCATCAACACGGTCGGAGGCCACCAGTGCGAATGCTCCAACAGCGTTCTTGTACTGGCTGAGGATGGTCTAGGGTGCACACGTAAGAGATGATTAAACTACCGATAGTTCTTCAATGATTATTATGACTGGTGAGAAATACCGGTATAGTCTCATTATTCTCATTTCAAGAAAGCAGATTCACAACGCCAGTTGGTTTTGTAAGGTTTATACTACACTAGAACAAGAAAAAACATTAAAACATAAACAACGACTGACAATCATGGGAATTAGATGGTGACACCTTTGTTGTTTGATTTTGATGTCGTAAAATTTTCAAGCATGCTGAAACAAAACCAACAGCCGACAAGGGTCTAAGACAGCATTTTCCGTCACAAGCTTAAGACAAATGAATTTCATAAAAAAAATTCAATGATTACATGACAAATATGACCCAGCCCTAACACATGATCTTCCATGCAATGATGAAAACCATTTGGTTCCAGTTGTTGGGGCCGAGACCACGTGCACCAATGAGGGAATGATCCTGGCCTTACCAGAGGAGCAGCTCACCCTTGTCAATACTAACGACCTGCACTGGGATCCTGACCAGAACTGTCGGGCTGTGTTCAACGGTACCCACCACCTACTGCGGACTGGGCTGTACCAGTGTGGTACCAGGGTGAGTATAATGACCAACGTTGGCGTGGTAAACCATGGTAGTGGTCTTGTCCTCTCCATGTAACACACCAGTTTTGTAGAGTAAGTACAAGATGCAGCGAAAGACTGAAGACTGTAAGGTTTGAACCACTGACACCTAGCCTTTTCAATAAGTGTGGTGGGATCTTTCACATGCTCACAATGTGGCTGAGACCCGTCAAAAAGTGCTTTACGTCTCATCCAAGAGGACATCCCTAATTGAATCTTGGTACTCATTTTCATCGAGTGAGGATACAGGTTTTGAATACCTAATACTAAAAGTAAATTTAATACGGCTTACTGTTTACAATATTTCAATGCAAATTGCATATGAACAATTATTTCAGATAGACAATCTGCAATGCCATTTCTCATCAGGTAACCTTCGACCCGACGTATGTCATCTTCACCAACCTGATTAGACTCATCGACATCCACAACGCAACGGGCGTCATCTCCCGGGACGACGACAGCGTCATCTACTCCAAGTACGTATGATGTATCAGAGTCTGCTAGACAGTGAAACTCATCTTGAGTTGGAAGTGATTTTTCCCACATTCAGTTTGCCTTTTTTTCCTTAAATGTATATTGCTCACAGAAGAAAACCTTGTAGCCTCTCACTAGCCTGTACTTAAGGCTTCAGAAGTGGCTGCAAAGAGCAGTTCACCACTCTGAATTCAGTACAGTTCACCACTCTGAACTCAGGGCATGCCGGCAGCAAACAGTACTTTCTGGCTAGCTGCTTCTTAAGCCTGGACTGCACTGAAGTAGCTGATGCATGTTGGGTGAGCAACAACAGCTGGAATTTAAACTCCCAACTTCATGGTCCAGAGGCAGGGTCACTAGCCACTAGGGACTACCAAACCACCAAGGTTACACAATACTTCATGACTAACTATTGAAATATTCCCCCAGGTGCAAGTACGAGCGAGAAGAGGACGTGTCCGCACAGTTCATGCCCATCCCTGGAGGACTGGAGTTCACGGAGGTCGGGTTTGGCACGCTGTCCATCCGGCTGGACATGTTCCACTCCCAGCACTACCTCCAGCCATACACAGTCAATGAGTACCCGGTATGTAACACAGTACTAAGTACTTGCTAACTAAAGCTAATTGTGTTTGAAAGCGGATTGTAATTAATTATCTAGATACAATGAGTAACACCCTGTGGGACGCTTTTACATGGAAGTGGATTCAACACTTTTTCTTTTCACTGGTTGAATGCTCTTGAATAATGGTCTGAAAATGCACAGTTTGATGTGCAATTAGTATAATGTGCAATGTGCAATTGATGTGCATACATGTATGCCGTACACTCAAGTACTAGCAATGGTCTACAGTCTGTGGCAGTTGTCTAGTTACAAGTCTGAAAACCAATGGGCTGACTTATTGTTCTAAGCTGCTCTCAACAGCTAGTCTGCTATTGGTCATGGAAATTACCTACTTCCTTATAAGGTCTAACCAGCATATATACACCTTGTTACAGGTACACAAGAGCCTCAGAGACAACATGTACTTCCAGCTGCAAGTTGAAGGGCACAGCCAGCATCTGTCCATCCTTGCTCTGAGCTGCAAGGCTACCATGTCACCCAACAAGAACGATGCCCTGCAGTATGCTCTCATTGATGGCGGGTACGTATGGAAAATATGCTGCTGTCGTTATGTCTAGCATCAGTGCATATCTGTCTTCACCATTAGAAAATATCGTAAGCCAGATCATTTTACAGGGCGTGGTCATGACATTACATTTGTCAGAGAATTTCATACCATGTCAATGCCTTAGAGTTTTCAAACAGGCTGTGACAGAACAAGGACTTAAACTCCTGACTATACTATTAGAAAGCTGAATTTTGTAGGACACACACATAACTATCTCACTAATTCCCTCAGTTCGCGATTGCACAACATGCCACAACACACATTATTAACCGGCAGTCCTTAAGTGGTCAGCACTACGGGTATAATGATAAGAAGTTGATAGGTATTATAGGTACTAGATATAAGCGTCGTAATTGAGTCATTTCAAATTTGAGTTTGAGTTTACAGAATTCAGATCCACAATTTAATTAAAATTCATTCAAGTTTCTAATAGGCTTTGCAGGGCAGTTAAAACTTTTGATTGTTTCGTTTCCCATGAAAAGATGCGCTGTTGACGAGACCCTGCAGTTCTACAGCAGCTACAACCTGACCACTCAGCAGTTCGGCTTCGAGGCCTTCCGCTTCATCCGGGAACTCCGGGCGGTCTACATCCACTGTGAGGTGGAGGTGTGCGGCGCAGCCGAGCCCGGATCACGCTGTGCACAGGTCTGTCTGTTTGTTTGTTTGTTTGTTTGTTTGTGTAGGTCTACTGTGAGATTGAAGTGTTCAAAGCAGATAGCAGATAGTGTCACATAGTTGACAACCCTTTTTTGAGTGAGAACACCCAAATCGATTGGGTAAGAATACTGACAGTGAGTGACTGGTGTTCAGCACCAAGGACAGGTCCCCCCGGCAGGGTGTATACATAACGAGTGTTCACTCAGACTCGCTGAGTTTCAAAATTGTCAGGAAGTGACCGTAATTTTTCACTTTACAATCTAATCTGTTACACGGACTCAGAAACCATCAAACTTCAACCGATCTCCGGAAATCGTGCTGGTGAAAATGTCCTTTACTCCTGTTTAATGGATGAGTAGAAGTGTTGCGACCTCGTTCTAAATTCTAAAGTCTCTACTCTACTTTACTCTACTCTAAATGCAGGGTTGCGCTCCTGGGGCCCGCCGCAAGAGGGCGCTTTCCGACATGACTGGAAGGCACACCATCTACCAGGGACCCATCGTCCTGGACGAAACTGAGAGCGGTAAGGAATCATATCATCTATGTAATGGCTCACAATACAATTAAATGCACCATTCTGTTTGTTTCACATAACCAGTAAACCACATTTATGCATAACACACCAGTTTTGTACAGTAATGTGCAAGTTGCATATTGAGACAGCGGTGGCAGCTGGCTATATTACACCGAATGGCTAGTTACACCTAACCCTTGAACATTTAACCCTAAACATTGTTTGCTGTATTCTTGTACAGAGAGCAAGGTGGGCTCCCTCAGTACCGGTGCGCTGGCAGCTGCAGTCAACGTGGGTTTGCTGGTCACCCTGATCGCCCTGGCTGCAGTTCTGGTGGCCACCAGAGTGAGGCGCTCCAGGAACAAGCATGCAGCTGAGTACCAACCGGTCCAGACTGACTGCGATGGCTGAGAAGTTTAAAGATCGATAAGACATTCCAGCAACTGCTGAAGTCACAACAATGACTATCATTTCAATTAAGCACTAAACTTTATCTCCTTGAACACCAGGAATAAATTGGGACTTACCCAAATTTTCAGCTGACTCCATGAACAAGGTTTCTAGAGTTTATAGCTGAAAATTTGGGCCAGTTCCAATTCATTCCAGTGTTCCGCTTGATAAGTAACAGGCACGGTTAAAGACGGTGGGGCTGTCTTTGTTACTACTGACGCGACCATGATAGTCCGATCTTTATGTGAATGCAATGATTGTGTGTGTGTAATTAAAATGAACTTCGAACTTGAAGCACAGTGTCTTTACACGCCCTGGGAGCAGTAATGGTTTTAGGTCTTTTTATGTTTTATGGTTGTGACGCGCCCTCATTGTATTAACCGTTGCCTAATGTCTGCACAGTAGGTCTGGCGTTGATGCTTTGGATTATCTTTGTTGCAATATATAAAACTTCACGGAGGATTGTCACCTATGGCTTCCTGTTTCCTAATGACTTGTACTAACACAGATAAACTTTCATGCTGAATATCATTTGAGCGTGTTTATCTAGAAAAGGTATTTTAGCCTTCTCATAAGGCTTTACATCTGCAGCTTTTTTTAGGAGGTTTTCATGATGCATTTTTTGCCGGTGCCTTCTATTTGTACTTAAACTGGTTTTTGTAGTGAACAACCGCATTACCATACCATACTGTAGTATAGGCTTACCAGTATAAAAGCCGACTAAAAATAAAATCCATGAGCATCCAAGTGCATTGTAGGTGTAAGGAAAAATAATAGTCCAGTCAATATTAATCCATGAATACAACACATTAACACATTCTTACTAATACATATAATTTTTATTGTGTTGGCCAAGGACAAGTACAGCACAGCTTTTTTTACTCTTTACATTTTTTTTGTGATATTCAGAAACATTTTTATTTTATCATCACAGAAAATATCTTACCTTAGTGTATCAAACCTTTGGTCAGCTTTGGAATGATTTTCCTGCCCCGGCTTTTACTAAGCACAGGCGAGCAAAACCGTCTGCAAAAAGCTACCCCAGACTCGCGGTAATTGGGGCCTGGTTTGGCGGCCCGAAACGCTACCAGCCCGGAAGAGATAGCGCTGAGCTCACGGGGGTCTGGTTACCAGGCTAACCTTAGTGTGACTAGTGTGACTTTGGTGCAAATTAGGAAACAAATCCAAAACGTTGTATGCAAATGTGATTCAGTGTAAGCAATTTTTAATGTTTGTAAACGTGGCTGCTATTCAACTAGACGAAAGCCGGAAAGGTGGTGCAACTTTGATGAAAGGTTGCATTCTGCTTTGTTGCTGTAATTTTGATTTTGTGTGATACAATAAAGGATGCATTTGTTGCACAGAGCGTTTGTTCTATATTACGTTACGTACGTATCATGTGCGTGTACTGTATGTTGTGTGAAGAATCAGTTACTTTGATACACCTTTTGCCAGGTTGACCTAACTTTCACCTATGGAGACCATGATTACATATCGGGAGGGGGCGGAGAACAAACATTAAAATTCATTTTAATAACTCTCATTCCTCTCAATAACAACCATTAAAGTATTGCATTTTGATAAATTAAGTATGACTTCGCTCTCACCTGGCGCTGTCCTTGGTGCTGAAATAGGAGGTCGGACGTCGTGTGGTGTGGGGAAAACACTGTTACCGTACTTAGCTCACGTATAAATAACCGTGCTTTATCCAGAACAATGCTCAAGTTTGACTCTGTACAGAACATACATATTTAGAACCGTGTCTGGGGGCAAATCTACGTTGTTAGATACGCCGTGACTATGCTGCATTGCCGGAGCCTAGATACTAGTACTAGCCTTACAAAAAAAGTTTAAGGAAACAACAACAAAAAAAATAAGATCAAATGCAGTAACACCAAATATATTTACAGAAATTGGATAAAAGCAGTTTTCGGAGGCGTAAAAAGAAATTTTTGGGGAAAAATGCAAAACATGATTCCGCCCGGGATCGAACCGGGGACCTTCTGCGTGTTAGGCAGATGTGATAACCGCTACACCACGGAATCAGCTGGCAACGTAGAGGCCAACACAAAATATAAACATACCTTGTGTAATTCATCAATCTGTACGCTTTCACAAGTACATGAGTACGCGTTTGTGAGTGTATATATTTTCCGTGGATGGAAAAGTACTTCTAAAATCCGTCTGTCAGGTTTAAAAATTTTCTTACAGCGGCAAAACGGACAGAATCCTGCTGTGGGCACGAGAGTGAACGAGAGGCGGACACCTCACCGTCACGTGACCGGACTCCTGACCAATCAGAGGGCGCCACCACCACAGGCCGGGTCCACGTCACTCGCAGGTGGCGCCCCTCCTCACTTCCTCGTTCTCTACCCTAACACTAAGACATCACAACTCCTCAAGATGTTCAGGTGGTTTTCCTTGCTCGCCGTCGTCGCCTTGGCGTCTGTAGACGCCGACGAGGTGCTGGATTACTCGGGAGACGACTTCGCAGACCGCATTGCCGAGCACGACGTCGCTCTAGTGGAGTTTTTCGCCCCCTGGTGAGTTGAGTTTAAAAAATCCGAGTCGCACACACATGCACGGTGTCCGGTCCTAAAACCGGTCAATTTGATTTGCCGAGATTTTTATGTGATCAGACACCTTAATTTTCACGTGAGATATTGTGCAGAATCTTCATCGTTAAGCCACGTTTTGTCTTGGTCAGAACCGATATGTCGTTTTTAGCTTTGCAACCGAAAAACATGAGCCAAGAAGTAAGGTGTGCGGTGGGAGGGGGGCGACAAGGGAAAAGACTGAAAGAAAGAAAATAATTTATGACACGAAACAGAGAAATTGTTATATATAATATTATTTTATACAGTTATTACCACTTGTAACTACACAGTGCCCTATCGTCTATTAGCGTGTTATATTTTCCAACACCCGAAAATTTTCCATGCGTGACGTTATGATGATGTTATCTTCAAGAGCTGGAAAATTATTCAAATAGGAAGTAACGTGATGTCGTTACCTTTTAATCTCTATAATGATCTTAGTTGACCCGGTTTGTTAGGATAATAGGTGTAGATTCGTCTGTATTGTTATCGAATAGAACACTACTGTACAGTAAATACAAAATGCATGTTTGCAGGTAATGTTTTGTTCCCAATATTCATGTAGAAATATTGTAGTGATAAAGTGATTAAAAAAACAAGATGCCAACCATAAATGGTTTCTGTGATAAGCCTATTGGCATCTATCAGAATAAACACGCAGTATTTTGTCTGTAGTGTGGCGACGAAGGCTCGCCCTGGCAGGGCATGTTGTTCGTAGTAACTAACCAGCTGGTAGACTAATCCAGTGGCTTCCCACTGGGAGACGTAGAGTGGGAAGACCTCTTTCACTTTGAAGACCACGTACTACATTTTTGTAGCCTGGGTGCTGTCCTATTTGTCTAGGATGGCACTTTTTGTCAATGCTAGATCTTGATCTTGATGCAATACTGCGTAACACCCCTCAGTTGGGGCAAGGAGCTTCTATCACCGGTGATAGAAGCTCCTTGGTTGGGGT